GAAGGAGGATAGTAAAAATTACCAACATGTTTAGGTAATCATAGAAAGTTTGAGCACATTTACATATGTATAGAAGTGGTCAGGGAAGGCAAAGATTTTATCCTATATGCTCAATAAAGTCCTAAAAACTAAAATCGATTGAAAATGGGGATCTGTTGATCATGTATAATGTGGTATTGGGGACTTAGGGAAGACTCCGCTGTGGCTTCTGCACACTGAGTTCCTCTGGTGAAGTTTCTAGATACAGGAGGTTAAGAGAATCGAGATGCATGTCATCTTACACATCCAAAAAACATGGTAAAGGGTGATTGGATTCAGGGACTGTGGCATTAGAAATTACCTTTGAGATGAGAGAAATACACTGTAGCATGTGGTAGAGCCTATCTTGTGGGTTGAAAACCTTGTAGTTGCTTCTTGCCTCGTCATAAATTATTAAATCCCTGTGAGTTCATTGACTATGCTGTTGTAGCTGAAATGGATGCCATCAAGGAGGATATTGGAAACAAAATAAACGACATATTTGTATCCTCATATAAGTTTTTTGTGTCCATACCTAAAATATTTGGCATTACTAATTTTCCAAGAAAGATTGGGGAGGTGGGTTGCTTAAGAGAAATACAACTAAAATTACCACTGAAGTTTTACTATTGACTGAAAGGATGGAGATAGTCTAAGATGAGAAGGAGGATAGTTCCTGTCTAAGACCATGAGAGGTATCGGTAAGGTGATTTCAAAAAAGGACACCCTGTATTAAAACACAAGCACAAGTCTGTGAAAATTTAGACTGAAAAATACCAGAAAATAGAGGAAAGTGCCAGTGCACATAGGAAAACGCATTTTAGAACACTTCAAAGTTGTATATAAAAAAACAGGTGGATTGATGAAGGATTTGAGCATTCACAAGGACTCAGGATATAAGATGATTCATGAATACAAGAGACACAGTGATTCTTTTTCCTGGTTTATCTTTCAAAATGACAGAAGACCCCGGTCTGGGTGGATTTAATTAGAGAATTAGAAGTTCCTTTGTTCCAAATTCATCCATTTTACCATACAACAGCTAAATGGTGCTGCTCAGAGTTAGAGTCGTAATATCTGTAGTGTCTACAAAATCAACAAGGAAGAGATTTTGGGTCTGCTAAGATTCTAAAATTGTTGCTAAGTTTGTCACTGAGACACCTTCACGCCTGAGCATTTAGTAAAGGGGGTGCTGTGGCTTATTCATAAATCATGACACATCACTGAGCGCTGCGTGGTGGCCTCACTCATGAACATCGCTTTCTGCCAGAGCAGAAACACTACAAATTGGATTTTCAGGGCATGAATATTTGCTACTGTACATTGAACAGATATATGTTCAGGATTCTTGTTCTAAAGTGAACTTTGTAAAATCAAATACATCTCTCAAGTCCTGGTAAATTGATATCCATCCATGGTGCATACTGCAGTGGTATTGTTTGGTAAATCAATCTCAGAAAACATTCAAATGCCTTATCTTCTAAAAACTGAGCATCTTTAAAAGACCTTGTGAGAGCCTCATTCAAAAGATTCTCCACATCTTTGATACACCATCCCTAATTAAGTCAATATTTGACATTGACATTTTTACTTGTTGACATTTTTCTAACAAGTTAAACTTAAAGAGTTTTATAAAAGAACTAGTGGCCTGGTGCACAAATTCGTGCACATTGAAAGGAAATTAATTAGAGGAAATATTTTAATATTGCTATTCACCCTTTCTCTATAATAGAAATGTCAACCAAATTCATGATCAACAAAAACACATGCAATTGGCGCCAGAGAGAGCTTTAATATGTATCGCTCATGGGCGACTCTACTTAGTCATATATATATATATATATATATATATATATATATATATATATATATATATATAAAACTTAATTAGACCTGCTTTCTCATTTAGCTAAACTTTTTCCAGCCCAGTTGAAGCACCCCAACTTCTTTTACAGATAATTGTCAGCAACACAGCAGTAAATATTAACATGAAACACGTTATTATTATAGATCACGCAGGGAGAACAAAAAGTAAAATATTTAACTGCAGCAGTGTTTGACTATATTCTGTGCAGTGAGAAAACCTAAAGTCATTTGCAAGGTCCACTATTTCTTACTTCTTTTCAGTCGGGTCAAGTTTCTAAGCTTTCTAAATCTCCATTTTCTGGCTAATGAAAAGAAAATAGGATTTCACCAAGTCTCCTATCTACCTACTGTAGGACTTCTGTGAGGATCAAATGAGATGGCAAGGGAAAACGCTTCACAGACATTTGGTTAAAATGTGAAATGTTTGCACCTGCCTATAAAGCAAGTCATGTTCCTGGGCTGAGGAACCTGCAAGGAGGCTAGTCGCTAGGGAAGGAAGGCCAGGTGTTGCTAAGTGACGTCATTACCCAGAAGGACACTTAGCATATTAGCCATATATATATATATTTGACTATTGTTCTCATCTTTTTCATGAGGCTATCTCTGATAAACCCAGTCTTATTTCTAATGTTAAATTTGAAAAAAATAGTAAAAGCTAAAAACTCCCAAGAAAATTGATCCAACAACAATTTGATAGAAATATCAATGAATATTAGCTACAATTCCCTTTTCCACATATATGTGTATCTGTGAAGTGTTTGTTTGATAGCCTGCGTCTCTGAAGGGTGTTCCTGATGCCTGACCAGCTGAGAGTTAGAGCACTGTTCATAACCCAGAGGAGCCACATGGATATTGTAGCTGCTTTTTCACACGCTGGAATTTAACACTGTTCTTACAGAGTGGTGCTGACAAAGTTTACATTTAAGATGAGAAAATTAATTGATTCAGTAAAAATTTTTAAAGTCATGTGTAGTGAAGGAGAAATAGAAAGCATGGTTTCACAATCAAGTCTATTTAGGGTAAATCCTAGTGTTGTGTTCTGGCACCAGCAGTTTCTGGTTCTACCAGCTTGGGTGGGTGGCTGTTTATAGAAAAGTATATAAGTATACATACATATATTTATATGTTTGCTTACAAATTTGACCTGTAATTGGTGTTCAGTAGCTGTTAGTTTCCTCAATATTGATATAAATGGATATACATTTTTCCAAATTTGAGTCTCATCACTAAACATAACTTATCATGGTGCTTGTGTCCAATGTCACTGGACTTGACTCTTTCAGCTGGAATTGTGAAGATCCCTCCACAAGCCTCTTCTCCTCCCACTGTTTGTACCTGAAGGGCCGATCCTGAGGCTACTGGCTCTCCAGTGCTCTGCAGGCATTGTAAGGGCCAGGGAAGCGGGAGTGGGAGTGACTACCTTGCTGCACACATCATTCCCTGCCTCTCCTCTCTGCCCACCCAGCATCTTTTGTCTCCCCAGAAATGTGAAGGCTGAAGGCTGTTTTGAGGGGGAAGCAAGGGATGGAAATAGTCTTCTGCCCTCCAGATCTAGAAGCCCCAGTCATCCTGCAGTTCTTCAAATAACATTCGTTCTTACTGTGTGTCCAGCAACAGTAGCCTGGAGGCTGCGAGGACCTCCAAGACAGGCCCTGTCCTCCAAGTTCCTGGAGTTCCTTGGAAACAGGTACACCAGCAGGGGCAAAGGAGGGAAACTGCCTCCAGCCAGCAGTTCAGGAGCTCCGAGCCCGGGGAACTGCTAGTCCTTGCATCACGTCTGATCCCGAGGACGGGCTGAACAATGGCCATTGGGTTCTAAAGATTATGAAACTCATGGTTTTAAAAAATTAGACAAAATGTCTCAAAAATGCACTTCACTATGAAAAAACAGCCAGTCAGACTAAAAACACCAAAGGAAATAAATAGCCCCACATCTACTTGCCACTCTAAAGCCAACATAAATTCTTAAAATTGTTCCTTAAAATGGAAGATGTGCTTAATTCCTATTTCAAACCCAAAACAAAACAAAAACCTGTAAAAATGTATGGGGGCTTCAAAATTGAGAGAAAAGTAGAATAGTTTCCAAAAGTTTAGTTTTAAAAAGGAAGAAATCCATGATCTCTGTATTAAAACCTAATATTACTAGTGACTGAGAATAGATATGATGATAGTATTATCAAATTCAGTCTGCAATCACAAATCTTAACCCTCAATTTACCATTATTTTCAATTAAAAATAGTGATGGGTGGTCAATCAAGAAATAACAAAGAATGGAAAGTCGATTTTTCCCATTGAAGTGGGGACAGCATAGAAAAGCACACGTGCAAAACCACAGCAGTTTGACAACTGACTTGGCAGCGATGCCAGAGGGAGAGCTGAGGAGACACGGAAAGGAATGAGTAGCCTGTCAATTACCAGATCTTCACATGGTATGTGTACTTAGAAAAACACACACATTTGGTGACGTTCTAAACCAAAGGTGACATAAAATAGCACAGTATTTGGTTCAGGGCATGAGCGTCTGAGGCCTCCTCGCGGCCCCGCTCTGCCTGCGCCCCCTTGCCCGCCGCCTGGTCGGGGCCTGGCACTGCCAGGCCCACAGTTTGGGGCTGTTCTTTACTTCCAAGCTGAAGATGGTTTATGAGAATGGAATGATTTTGAATGTATATTTGTTTTGTAGTTTTCAGCCTTTCAATTGTTTCCTCACCACGGATAAAGGCTGTGGTCACAGTAACAGGTTCTCATGCCCAGATTCAGAAGATGTGCAGCTTTGCTCTACTTTCTAATTGAGCTAACTGGGTCACATCCCCACTGACAATCAGACTCTGATGATGTATTTCTGTTTTTATAGATGAAAGAAGTGAGGCGCTGTCCATGAATTACCCAAGATCCCAGAAAAGCAGGAAAACACTAAAGTTTTTGCAACAGACATCTTAATGTCCTAGGACCTGGAGCCACACTGGAGCCGGACCTATCTATGGCCTAAATATGTGTGGATGAGCACTCAACAGCTAGTAAGCTTCCCCCCATCTGGACACAGAAAAGTGGCAGACAAGATTACCAGTGACCATGATCACATCTCGGGTTCATTTATCTGGAGAAAAAGATGTCCTACCCAGATGCTGTCTTCTTGCTGGTACTGTTTCCAGTTGTGTCCTGTGTCACTGAACAGGAGGCTGTAGCTCGTCACCCAGTCAGAGCTCCCGTATCTCCCTTGCGTGGCCACTGCGGTGACCTCCACTCTGCCCCCCAGGTCCATCTGGAGCCACTGCTGAGCGTTGGAATCTTCCGGGGACCACCCGCCAGCGCCTGCAAGAGGATCGGACACAGAGAGGAGGTGACATCTCACATCTCAGGACTCTGATTCTCAAAGAGAAATGAAACCGTGTTCAACTAGGACGTCTTTACCCCAAACACATTCTGGCTCTGAGCTTAATCCCCTGGTGATTTCTTCACCTGGCTGTCAGCCTCATGGTTGCTTTCATGGAGTAAGATTTACCTCCAATGCTGTTTCCTCCATGATTCCTTCTCTCTGTCCTCAGTCATCACCGTTTCCATCTCCTGCATTCCTAGTGGAATTTTTTTTACAACCTTTAACATGTCTTACATCCTCTGCTTCACTAATATCCCCTTCCTTCCTCTCGTTTTTCTTTTAGCCCCCGTTTTCCTTTCTCTGCTCATTTCTCTCAAAATGCATCCTATTTGGAGACCAGTGTTTTGCTGTGGGGAAATCACTGACTATGCCTCTGAGAGGTTTGTACTCATTCATCCACCAGAAGCACGCTGGGTGCTCAGGAGAGAGGCCTGCGGAGGCAAAAGAGCAAAGGGATGGGGAAGGAAGGGTTACACAGGTGCAGTAGGAGCACACAAGACAGATGGACCCGGGAGACCGGGAGGCCTAAGGACAGTGATGTGGGGCTGCAGCCTGAAAGAGGTATGGCTGCTTTATGGGCAGACGAGGCAGGACAAGGACACGTTGGAGCGATCAGCTGGAGCCAGCGAGCAGCTGCACACACCTCAGAGACAGGGAGAGTGCCACACTCCTGGGCCTGCGTGTGACTCGGGGTGCTGGACACGCAGGGACAGTCTAACATGGGACAAACACGTTGGGCCCCAGAATTTCCATATTTGACACACTGGAAGTTTGCAGAAAATCAGTATTAGCTCTTGCTTAGTTGGGACACCTGTGGCCTAAGGTTTCTGTCTTTATGTCACATAGGAATAAGTAGGTAACATGCCTTTGTACTGACCCCGGAGTTTACAGAACTTCCGAACCCTGAGCTGGAGCGACTGCACGATGCCCCATGCCATGAGTGGGCGTGGGGTGGGAGCAGCCCTTCTAGCACCTTCCTTGGGGCATCAGGCCCGGGAGCTAACTGGATTTTTATTCAGCGGGGATAGTAATAAATGCCATTTATTTCAGCCTGTGTCACTGACAATCATCTTAGTGATGCCAGTCTACTTTCCTGCTCTCTTCAGATGAGTCAATTGGACTTCTCCTTGGTAACAGAAGTCTGAGCCTGGCTCTAAAATCAACAGAGACATATCCTCAGGTAAGGATTAAAAAAAGAGAAGAAAAGATGTGAGTGGAAGGGAGGTGTGCCACGTGCAGGCCATCAGCCTGGCCCCATCGCCTCTCCTCCCATGGCTGAGGGACATGGTTGTGAGGGACACGGTTGTGAGGGACACGGTTGCCAGCAGGGTCCTGGGTGATGGCGGAGCCTCAGCACGCGGAGGAGAGCATCTGCTACCTGCATACCTGCCCTCACCCAGGACACGGGTGAAGACTCAGCAGCTATCATGTCTGTGCCGTTGCACACGAGAATCCATGTGCTGCTGCAGGTCAGCCTCCCCCAGCACACAGACAATACATACCCTGCAGAGTGGCAGCATAATCCCCATAACATGGGTGAGGAACCTGAGGTCCAGCAAGTTTAGAACACCTGGCTCTCAGGATTCAAGCAGAGCTATTTGAGACTAATAAGTAACAGGAAAAAGAAAAAAAAAGAAGACCGTTTCTTAAAAAAAAAACACAGAAAATTAATAAGGATGAAAGGCAATGGGAAGAGGCATTTAAGGAACCAGATCCCCCAGCTCTGCCTTAACCTCCATGTACATGGTCTCCAATCAACACCCCCAACTTCTCAAAACTGGCAGGGAATTTTGAGATTTCACACTTGCAAGAAATCTAAAATTACCCTGAAGCTCCTCATTATTTCCACTTCATCTCTCCATTTCAAGAGGTCTTTCTTCTTAGGCGAAAAAAGCAAAGTTGTATAAAATACATGATATTAACAGTATTAAAACATGACAGAAAAAAATCTATATGGTGAATTCTTCTGAGCGGTGAAAGTGCTCCTTCCAAATGACTTCTCTGATTTTTGCACGTAACATATTTTCTACTATCAGTATGCTTTTCTTTTACAAACTGAGGTATCTTTAGCCATATCTATATGGTTTATTGCACAAAGAGTATATGTAGCAATTGGACAGCTGGTGGTATGATATAGGGCTTATGACTTTTATGAGACTCCTCAAACTTTATTTTTCTTTCACCCCCAATAATCCAGAGCAAGCCTTCGTAGTTATTCTTTAGAGTGTTTTCCTTCATTTATTCTAATTATTTTTCTCATAGGCATGTATTATAAGACTTACATTGAGGATGAAACAAACAAAAAATGACAAGGAATTCACCCCACCACCTTCAAAGTGTAAAATCACAAAAGGCTGACCAAAAACAAACACAGGGAGAATTGTTGCTAAAACAAAGATTTCTTCAAATTTGTCTAAAGAAAAAATCACATCTCCCTTTTGCCCACAGTAAAAACCTTAGTTTATTAATCCCCCTGAAATTAACCAGATGGAATTGTTGCTGTTAGCATTCCTCAACACATCAAGGATTATCCAAACGCAGGAGCCTCGGTCTATGCTCTTTTTTTTTCTTTTTAATTATTTTATTGATTATTACATATGTGTCCTTATCCCCACATTACCCATATCCCCCCACTCATGCCCCCTGGTGTCTGTGTCTATTGGTTAGGCTTATATGCATGCATGCAAGTCCTTTGGTTGATCTCTCCCCCTTACCCCCACCCTCCCCTACCTTCCCTCTGAGGTTTGATGGTCTGATTGATGCTTCTCTGTCTCTGGATCTGTTTTTGTTCATCAGTTTATGTTGTTCATTATATTCCATAAATGAGTGAGATCATGTGATATTTATCTTTCTCCAACTGGCTTATTTCGCTTAGCATGATGCTCTCCAGGTCCATCGCCTATGCTCTTAAACTGAGGAACACTCCGCGAGATGACTGCCAAGGACCTCCCTTCCTCCTGCTGTTGAAGGCCCTCCCTGCACCGCAGCTAATGGGCCAGACGCCCAGGGTAGTCATGGTTGCCATGGCAAACACTTTGTTCCTTCTACAGAACAATAAACATGTTTTAAAAAAGGATGAGAGTAGCCTGAAGGTACTGTTTACAGTTGCTCTGAGGACACACCATACCCATGCTAGCTTTCTGTTTCTGAATTACTCTCTAAATTGGAGGTGTAACATACACACAGATACCTGTGTTTGGCAAGTTAAAGGCTTTAACTAAGGCAGTACTGACTGTAATTGTGGCTGTGGTATCAGTGATTATTAACTACAATTCCCATAAACCCCGTGGTTTAAATTTAGAGGAATTTAATGGAAATTTAAAGAATCATTTTAATTTGAAAGAAAAATAACCTCAGCTTAGATTTTTGCCGCATAGAGTTTTTTAATAATTTTCAAATATGGGATATTGAATGATTTGGAGGCTTTATCTAGTGCATCGCTAGCACACCCCAAGTCTCCAAGTCTCCATTCTACATTATTAGATTTTCGGGGAAAAGATGGTAAAAGGAAATGTTGAACTAAAAATGAGGAGACCTGGTTCCAGGCCCAGCTGTTCTCCAGAGAGTAGATCAAACGAGAGATTCTCAAATGGCTCAACCATCAGCAACACCTACAGAGCTTGTAAAGGCCACACCTGCAAACTCCTTGATCTGACCCTTGATAAATGGCTCGGGAACCTAACCTGAGAACCTGAATTTTTAGAAAAGTGCTCAGGACATGCCAGGTGGTTTGGGAAACACAAGACGAGAGAGCTTCTGAGGTGTCAGCTCTAATATTTGACTGATAAGCATCTCATTATTTATGTGTTTAATGGTCTAAATTAATTAAAGATACATCGTGTTTTTGATTAATAAAAACAAAAATAAATAACAATATGAAGTCTGAAAGGTTAACATGGTGGTGTGTGTGGGCAGGCTAAGTAGGCATCTCCGATGGTGGATAAAGAAAAAAATTGACTTCATTTAAGGGAAGGGATGGAGGATAGGATGCCCAAGGGAAAGGCTGCACAGCACTGAGCCAAGGGGGCATAGGGTCGATGCTGGCAGCCCCCAGGAGCTGGAGTTTCACCCTATGCACAGTCACTGGCGGGAAGCTCTTGTCAGTGGGTCTGGAGGCTGAGCTGGGCTGGGAATGCAGATGGAATGCAGGTGTGCGACCAGGCGCCTTCAGGAGTTTCCATTCCTTACATGGTCTGACTCCTGGTGTCCAGTGAGTTTTTCCTGGTCTTTTGTTCTCCTGTGGCGGGAAGCTTACAAATGGCCAGTAAGGCTTTATTGCCCTACAGTCCTAACATTTCACTCCTCTTTCTCTTTGTTAGTAATTATTCTTAATTTTTAACATACACATCTGTTCCTATAGCAGCCTGAAATTGTCACCCATATATTATTTCATAGGACTCAAACCAATCCACTTCAGGGAGCTACTCTAATCCTGAGCAGGGCAATTGGCAATACCTGATCCCAATGCAGATGACTCTCTTGACATAGTTTGGCTATAGTCATCTTTAGGGTATGGTTCAATTTTTATTTTTCCCAAAGATTGGGGGATGGTATGCTGAGTGGAGTTTTTATGTGATACTCAAGGCTGAGGACACCTGTTGAATGACTTGTAAGATAAAAGCTGGTCCTGAGGCAGCCACTGCATCACTTGTCTGGTTTTGCTGTTTTTCTGGACCCAGAGCTGAAATACAACTGAGGCCTAGATATTATATTTAGGGAGGAAAAGTTTAGGGGATCTAAACCACTTGATTAATGATATGAAAAATCAAGGGTCCAAACTGCTTGACTAGTTTTATGGTAGGGGCAAAGAAGCTGAGCCACCTGGCTTCCATTGGGTTTGCCTGCAATACCTGCAGACTTGGGTGAATTCACCATGTTCTTGAGGTCCCCAGTGATATCTTGAAGTTCCTTCCTTGCCATCTCTCAGGAAAGCAAC